TGTCTCGGGGCATAGGGACTGCATGGGGGTAATGTAGGAGTAAAATTGGGCAGAGAGTAAGGGAGATTGCGGCTGGGAGAGGGCAAGTGGGGCAGAGTGAGGAAAATGGGGGCCTGGAGAAAGAAATTGGGACCGAGCAAGGGGAAATTGGGGCAGGGGGAGAGAACGAGGGGCGGAGAGAGGTGACCATGGGGCAGAGCGAGGGAACAAGGGGCAGAGAGAGGAATGATGAGGCATAGAGGCTGGGGGAGTGGGGCAGAGGACGGAAAGGGATTCACTGAGAGGGAGGCAGCGGGGAGATGATGTGCGATTTGATGCACCTAACTACTAGACCACCCCGCCAGCCCCACCCCTCTCCCGCCCCCCTCCCTAACCCACCCCACCGGCCCCACACAAACCCTAAACCGATACCCTTACTGCATCCCGTACGTGCAGACGATACAAGATTCTCAAGGCAGTGACTCCTGCGTCTTTGCTGAGACTCCCATCCGCATGGGCGTACTTCACCACGACGGCCTGCTTCTCAGCGTCGGAGCATCGTGCCATGATGCAAGTGCTGCCCCTCATCATCGACCTCCCCAAGCGCACCGATATTCGACATGCCATCACGCTCATGTCGGACTGGTACAAGGAGTTTATCCGGGCTGAGTATCACACCGATGCCACGCTTAAGCGCATGGAGGAGGTCTCCTGCGAGTAAGTATAGCGTGAATGGGTGTGGGTGCCATGCGCATAGGGAACGAGGGACAGTGAGATGGCTGAAGGGGTCGAGGGAGGGATTAAGAGGCAGTGTGTGGGAAATAGGGTGCAGAGAACGGGGGAAAAAGGGAAAAGATAAGGAAAGGGGGTAAAAGCGAGGGAAAGAGGGGACGAGGGAGGGAAAGAGGGGACGAGGGGGGGAAAGAGGGGACGAGGGAGGGAAAGAGGGGACGAAGGAGGGAAAGAGGGGAGGGGGGGGAGGGAACGATGGGCTGTGGACTGTTCCGCATGCGCTGAAAAAGGGAAGGAGGGGCATAATGACGACAGGAGGGGCTTAGAGTGGGGGAATGGAGTGGCAGAAACATGGAAGCTGAGTTGTGAGTGGGTGGGGGGGGGGGGGGGGGGGGGGGGAGATGAGAGGAGGGGGGAGGGTTTGAGAGAGGGTAGTAGTACATGAACCCGGGTATGGGGCATTGTATGTTGTTTGTGGCTGAATTGTTGTTTATATGCTTACGCACGCTAAACCGATCCCCAACACCCAATGCCCCAATTCCGAACCTTTCAATCCACCCAAACACGTCCTATCCAGGATGGTCGATGCGCTTGTTCTAGCATTCGACAACCAGAAGTCGAAGTGGCTTATTATCAAGGTGCATCTTGTATCGCACCTCCCGCCGACGATCCGTGCACGGGGATTGCCACAGGAGTACTCGTCGAACCGGTACGAGCAGTCCCACAAGACAACAGTGAAGCGCCCTTCTCGCGGCACCAACTGGAAGGGTGTGGAGGATCGCATTGTGAAGAAGCATATCGAGCAAGCCGTTGTTCGACAGCTGTCTCGAGCCTCCGGCAGGGACAAAACATACGAGACAGCCATGAAGGAGGTGAGCATGTGTACGACCTAATGCCAATCTTGCCCACCAATGTTCCCCGCCTGCTCCTGCCGCATGAAACCCTCATCACCTCTTCCCTTCCTCCCGCTGCCCCCCTAGACATCCCTTCTAGCATCCACGTGCTCACCATCATGTCCACCCATGAAATGCCTCTACCGCTGCCCCCCTTGACATCCCGTTTTGCATCTACATGCTCGCATTCTTGTCCACCCATCGCTCCTTCCACTAGCTGCCACCCTTCACATTCTGTCTTGCCCCACATGCTTTCCCACTTAACCACCCATGCCCCTCCCCCGGCCCCCGTGGGACTATCCGTCGTTCAGCCCCCAATGCTCCCCTACTAATCCACCATATACCTTCGTGCTGCTAAACACGTCGCCCCCTCGGTTCCCCCCCCCCCCCCCCCCCCCCCATCCTCCTCCATGTCCATCCCCGGCACTTCCCATTCCCTCCTGCCGTTTGTCTTTCCTTTGCTCTCCCTTGATCTACACTTGTCCACCTATGCTCCCTCCTCTTGCTGCACCCTTTGACCTCTGGAACTGCCCCGCTATACTAACCGACTAGTCCCTAATCTTTGCTCCCTCTCACTGCTGCCCCTGTTGTACTCAAGTGCTGCCCCTCTCCTGCTGCCCCCCATGTACACCATGCACCCATCACCCTCCTACCCAGGCTTGCACGCTTGGGCGTCGGGTGCTGACTAAGACACACAAGAAGATGACCGTGGGGCAGATCACGGATGATGTGTTCAGGAGCTATGTCCTTGTTCACGGAGATGAAGCGATGGGCTACTTGAAGAAGCGGCTGGCCAGGGAGGGAATTCACGACCAAGTGCTCAATGTGAGAATCAATATGGTGCTCAATGCGGGAGAATCAATGTGAGAATCAACTGCCACTGCCACGTAGACCTGTTAAAAGCGGACCATCAACCTCCTTAAGTGGCCGAACCCAGGCATGGCACCCTGTTGTATCCACGCACCCGTCAGCACCCCATTGTCTCAACCCTAACACAAACTTCCATTGTTGTGCTGCAACCCCTGCTTGCCTATTCGCATGTGCACACTGCCATGGCAATCCCACCGCACGACAGGATGGAGTGGACCGAGAAGGGCCAGTTTGTCAAAGCAAGCCCTTCCGACAGGCACTTTTCAGATGTAGCCATAAATCCAGCTGGCAAAGGGGCCAACTGGTACGGCCGCTGCTTGATGCTGTTCCATTACGTGAAAGATGGCGTGGCAAAAAAAGCCGCCTACATCGAGTACTACACGGAGGATCGGCGAGTCTGCCGGTACACTGGCTGCAAACGACTGTTGCCCACGAAGGGCACCTTCAACTATGCAGTTGTAGATGCAGATTGCATTCTTAGCATCGTGCATGTTGTCCCGTGCTGCAAAGACCCTGCTGTGAAGCTGCTCAATAGGTTCATCTGGTGATGCAAATAAAGTAGCAACTATGTCAATTTACCATAACCTTCTTTGATTGTGAAACAAGCTTTTAAGCCACCTTATTATTGTCTCAACAATTAACATCTAACAAACATTCCATTGTAACACCGCGAAACCATTACTAAAACATCACCAAAACGTTTGGTCTGACAAGAATGCTATACAAACGATTCGTAAATGATTCCTGGATGATTGTCAAACGATTTTCAGAAGCTTGCTTAAAAAAAAAAATGGTCAGATGATTTCCAGACGCACACATTTTTGTGATGGGGGCTGCTTCGCTTCTTTTGAGACGTCTGAAAAGCCTCCCTCCCTCCGTCCTCCTCCCCCCTACATCACAAAAATGTGTGCGTCTGGAAATCATCTGACCATTTTTTTTTTAAGCAAGTTTTCAAAAATCGTTTGACAATCATCCTGGAATCATCTATATATCATTTGTATATCATTTTTGTTGGACCAAATGCTTTGCTGATGTTTTAATAATGGTTTTGCAATGTTTTCAATGGAATGATTGTCAAATGTTAATTGTTGAAACAATAATAAGGCTGAAAAAAGTGTGTTTTATAATCCAACTAGGTTATGGTTTATTGACCTAGATGCAATTTAATATGCATCCCCAGATGAACCTATTGAGCATGTTCACATCAGAGTCTCTGCAGCACGGGACAACATGCACTGCAAAAAAATGAACTATGCTACCAAGAACAAGCTACGGAGAGGACAACTCTTAATTCTTAAAGCCCGCGTCTCATATTTCCGCCCCCCCAACCAAGTGTAATATGGTTGAAATCGGGTAACCATTTTTAGGTCGCCCAACGACCACTGTTGGTGGGCACAGGTTTGGGGTCAGTTTGGGAAAGAGACTCGAGAGGAAAAGGTTGTCGTACGTGCCAGCCCCAGCAATTGAACGTGCACCACCCCAAGGTGTGGAAATGCACATGACGACTCAAAGTGCTAAGCGCATGATTCGATCGTGCGACACAACCACCCTGTGCGATTTTCCAGCACCAGGGGGAACAAACATATTACAACAGCTCGAGGAAATTAGAGACGCAGTTTCGAACAGCAAACAAGCGGAGGCACTCACGCAGCCTAACAAGCATATTACACTAGATATAGACAGCAGAAAACGTCCACGCGACCCTATTATATGGCGCAGCAATGCCGCCACCAACAGGACCGTCGTATCACCAACATTTAGAGCGAGAACCAGCATTGAAGCTCATGCGCGGCGAGTGCTAACGGACCATATCCGTAACGTGCGGACCGACCACCATAAAGCTTTTCAGTTAGGAACTCGACGAGGCGACGCGAGGCATTTTCCTTCGCCACCATCTACGAGTGTGTGCTACTCGTCAGGACGGTGAGCACGAGCTGCTAATCACGGTAGCTCCGCAAAAACGAAGATATCGACCGCGTCAGTCAAAAACCACGGCATTATCAAAGCTCTCGACCTGTTTAGGGTTGCTTCTGGTATAGGGCAGATCACTGGACGTCTTGAGAAGAGCAGCCATACCGCGAATAGCCTCATTGCTGGCTCATGCGATTGTTCAGCACGCAGCCCCAATAAAACGCGGCGTCGTTCCGCAGCTCGCATTGGGGGCGAGGCTGTAATCTTGCACCAATAAATTTCGCGCCCCGCCTCAACGCGTGAAGTGCGCAGCAGCCATGACACCGCAAACTGGGGCAAAGCAGGCGGGAGGCGCGCCTCTGCCTGAGTGCCCCGCTAGGGCCCTGCTCACCCTATCACGACGGCTCCTCCTCTCCCCCCGCACTTCCCGTGCATGCAACTCCCAGGGCATGACTGGTGGCGCACTCAGCAGGCGGGAGGCGCGCGTCTGCCTGACTGCCGCGCTCCCCCCCTTCACTTCCGTTCACCCCAATCCCGCTTCCCCCCATCTTCCCCCGCATGCGCCTCCCAGGTGTTCGAGGCGAACCGAACAGGTGTTCGCCACCTTTCTCATCCCTAGGGGGAAGCAGGGAGGGGGATGAGGGGGAGCAGGGAGGGGGATGGGGGCGAGGCGGGAATCTGATGGGGGGAAGCAGGGAAGGGGATGGGGGGAAGCAGGCAAGGGGAGGGGGGGAAGCAGGGCAGGGGATGGGGGGAAGCAGCGCAGGGGACATGGGGGGAAGCAGGGAAGGGGATGGGGGGTAGCAGGGCAGGGGATGAGGGGAAGCAGGGAGGGGGATGAGGGGGAGCAAGGAGGGGGATGGGGGCGAGGCGGGAATCTGATGGGGGAAAGCAGGGAAGGGGATGGGGGGAAGCAGGCAAGGGGAGGGGGGGAAGACGGGCAGGGGATGGGGGGAAGAAGAGCTTGGGATAAGGGGAAAGAACGAAGAGGATGGGGGGACACAGGGAGGGGGTTAGGGGAAGCAGGGCAGGGGATGGGGGTTCATGGGGCAGGGGACAAGGGGAAGGTGGGAAGGGTACATGGGGAAGCAAGGAAGGAGAGGGGGGGATGGAGAGAACCGGATGGGGGGAAGCAGGGATTGGGATAAGGGGAAAGAATGAAGAGGATGGGGGGACATGGGGAAGCAGGGAAGGGGAGAGGGGGAAGCAGAAAACCGGATGGGGGGAAGCTATTGAGAAGGGAGGCGGGAGGGAAGGCGAAGGCGACGAGCAGTGGATGGCGGGGGTTGGGGGGGGAGGTTCGGGGCTCCACGAGTGTGGAGGGGGCAGGGGTGAGAATGCGGATGTGAAGGGGAGTGATATCAACGAGGGAAGGGGCGGTGGCGCAGGTGGGGGTAACGTGCCTGCAAGCGAGGGGGTAGGGGAGAGAACGCGACATCGTGCGGGGGTGATCGTGACGGGGGAGGGGGAATGGCCGCGTGGGGGAAGGGGAGTGAGATGGACGGGGACGGAGAGATAGCATTGGGGAGGGAGATGGCTAGCGGTGGGCCTTAGGGAGAGCTAGCAAGGGGGAAAGGAGGAGATGGCGAAGGGGAAGGGGAGGGCGGGCGATTGGGGAGGGGAGGGGTGGCACGAGTGTGGAGGGGGAGCGGGTGAGAATGCGACGGCGAAGGGCAGTGATATTGATGGGGGAAGGGGAATGGCCGCGAGGGGGAAGGGTAGTGTTGGGGACGGACGGGGAGTGATAGCAGTGGGGAAGGAGATGGCTAGCAGTGGGGAAAGGGAGAGATAGCTCAGGAGCAAGCATCGTGCCTGCAAAGGGGAAGGGGAAGGCGTGAGGTTGGGGGGGGGGGGGGGGACGAGTGTGGAGGGGGGAGGGGAGAGAGGGCGACGTGGAAGGGGAGTGATAGCAGTGGGGGAGGAGAGAGCTAGCGGCGGGGGCAGGGGGAGCTATCGAGGGGGGAAGGAAGCGATAGCGAAGGAGCGGGGTAGTGTTTGCGGAGGGGAAGGGGAGGGCGGCACTCGCGTGGAGGGGGAAAAGGAGAGACTATGACGAGGAAGGGGCGTGCTGGTGACGTGGGAAGGGGAGGGCGCGCAGGTGGGGGGAACGTGCACGCGAGAGAGGGGGAAGGGGCGAGAACGTGTCAGCGAGAGGGGGTGATCGTGACGGGGGATGGGGAATGGTCGCGTGAGGGGCAGGGGAGTGATAGGGACAGGGGAGGGGAGTGCTTGCAGTGGGGAAAGGGGGAGTTATCGATGGGGCAGGGCATTGATAGCCCTTTGAAAGGGGTGAGCGCGACGTGGAAGGGGAGTGGTTGGGAGGAGGGGGAAAGTGAACGCGACACAGTAGGGGAGTGTTAGCGTGGGGAAAGGGAGGGATGGAGACGGGGAAGGGGAGTGATCGCGAGGGGGCGGGGGCCGGCGCGCATGGGGGAAAACGGGGACGCTCGCGAGGGGGTAGGGAAGAGACAGCGACGGGGGAAGGGGAGTGATTGCGAGGGGACTGGGGAGTTGAGGCTGTGAGGAAGCGCGTAGGGGGACGGTGGGGAATAAGAGAGTGATCCCGGGGGAGCGCGGTGTTGGCGCCAGTGGGGTTGCAGGCGCGAAATCGTGGAGGCTGATGCGCGGAACACTTTCGGGGGAGGGGGGGGGGGATGCGCGACCGCTAATACGGCGCGTTGTTGTACTCACGGGAGGTTTCGACGGCGGATCGTTCGGCATCGCATTTCCTTGAACACGCCTCGTCCCCATTAGGCGCGTGGAGCGACATTGCTAATATTGAAGCGAGATTTCCGTCGAGCTTTTATACGTGCGAAAGAGCTGTATAAGGAAAAGGTGTAGAACTCTAATGACGATAGTGGCTGGGGCGGGTGTCTGCCGTAATGATTGTAGTATTGGGGAGGTGTGACTGGTGCTACTTTAGCAATCAGAAGTGATTCCCGTCGCCCACGTTGGTGTGGATGAGGATGTGCGGGGGGGGGTTCTGTTTGTCGCATGGGTGGGTCGCAGGGTGTGTTTTCGCTGACGAAACAGTGTTGTACCAGGTTGGGGTGTGCCCAGGTTAGGGCGTGTGGTTTGGTGTTGTCTGTACAGTGTTCTGGTTTCGTGCGAATGACCCTTCCTCTCGTGCTGAATTTCGCTGCTCGTGGACCAATCCCAGGTGCCCCCACCCAACCAAGTGTAATACGGAAGAAATCATGAGACGCGGGTTTTAAATGGTCCAAACTAGGTTCGAACCCGGATCATCCTTACCGAGGCCGACATCGTAACCCTCTGGACTACAATATCTGCTTTGAAAATGTATTACAACATTTGATGACAATGTCATCGCGCATTTGCCAACCCCCAATTTCACTTTCCCAACCAACCCCAACCAGGCCAGAAATCTGTCCAACCAACCAAATTCGCCTCATTCAATCCAGCTCAGCATACCACTTTGTTCAACCAATCAAAGCTGGCATTGCATCCACCTCAACAAAATCCAGCCCAACCACCACCACTTGTGCCAACTAACCAACCCCATCCACACCACCTCCCTGCACTCTACCCGTTACGCTTGCACAAAAAAGGTGAAGTGGGGTCTCATTTTGTTATTCTAGAGTGGATGTGACTGATTTTAGTTTAGTTCTTTCTTAGCACGTTTTCCAGTCTCGTTATCTCAACCGCCGCCATAGTCTCAACCGTTGCCATTGTCTCAACCGTCGCCGTAGTTTCAACTGTCGCCATAGTCTCAACCGTCCCGGTAGCTCGTTATTTTCTGCAATTGCCACGAGTGCGCCTAATTGGCTGTGTGTCTCTCCCCTCGTGCACTCCGTTTACTTTGTGTAGGTGTGTGCTCTGTGGTACATGTGCTTTCCTCGTTTAAATTCCTCTTGATCAACATGTGCAGGTCGAAGCCCAGGCCGCGCTGTTTTCTGATTAAGGTCACGTTAGATCCTTCTCTGTATTAGCGGGAATTGTTATGTAACGAATGTTGTTGGCTGTGTTTCTACTATCATGCAGTCCGTTAACTTGGTGAGGTCTTGTGCTCCGCGGTGCATATCTCTCTCCGCGTTTTAATTCATTGTTATCCCCATGTGCAGGTCGTGCGGTTTCCTTCAAGAAAGCGCTAGTTCCTACTCTTGCGCTTATCCGAACTGCTAGCTAATGAGACGCTTTCGTTTTTGTTCGTTTATTTCGCAGGCAGGCGGTTTCTTTTTATCTGCCATTGTGTTATGGATATATTTTACATAATATTGGCGTTTCTACTAATGGAAAATCTGAACCCAATCACGCAAGAATCATGAATTGTTAAAATTAATACCGTTTGTGGAATGTCCAATTATAAGCAGTATGAATTCAACATACAAATTCAAAGAGTAAAATGCAATGAGATCTAATCTCCAAAATCACTTCGGGAAAACTCGTATTAAACTTCAATCGAAGGTATTCAAGATGCAGCTTTGAACAAAGAAGCATTGCAGAAGCATTTGAAAAGCATTCGACAAAGCATTTGGAAAGCGTACTATACTTTCTCAAAAAAGCGTTTGAAAAAATACGTTTATAAATCATTCGACAAAGCTCCAAAGCAACTCTTTTCATCGGCTTTCTGGATGCAGGATTTTTGTGATGTACTACCTCGAAGACTTTTACCCTGCTCTTCCTGTGGCATTCCCGGGCTGCTTCGCATTCCCGCTGTGGAGCCACTACCAGGAGACGACATTTGAGCCGCCTCAAAAGTTCTGGGGCTGCTTCGCATTCCTCCTGTGGGGCTTTTACTGGGAGTTCTGGGGATTCTACTCTTAGCCTTCTCACCAACACTTCCCATCACCACCACCACTCTCGCCCCATCCTTACCATCCCCCGCATTCCCCGCATTCCCCTCATCCAAGCCTTTCAAGGGCCTCAGCCGTGACACCCACTCATTCACAACCCTACGTTTCGAAGCATACCCCCCCTCCTGCTCTTTCTTCTTGTCCTTTTCCTCCTCCCTCTCCCTCTCCCTCTCCCTCTCCCTCTCCCTATCCCACACCCTCTCCCACTCCCTATCCCTCTCCCTCTCCCTCTCGAACTCCGTTTCTCCCCAACTTCCACCCCTTCTCTCTCGCCCGTTCTCCCCTCCTCTCCCCTCAACGGATTCCATACGGTCAACCACCCCAGAAGCCATGGCTGATTTGGCTCGCCTGTGACCTGTAGGGGTTGTGGCAGCAGCAGCACCAGCAGCAGCAGCAGCAACAGCAGCAGCAGCAACAGCAGCAGCAGCAACTGCACCAGCACCAGCACCAGCACCAGCACCAGCACCAGCAGAAGCACCAGCACCAGCAGAAGCACCAGTAGCAGCAGCAGCAACGGCCACGGCTGTCAAACATTTATATGTTTGTGTGGTTCTAGGCTGTAGTGGGTCACACCATAAGGGGTACACCAGATTAGGGTTTGACATATTTGTACTGTTGTTCCTGCTAGTCACTCATCATTCTCGTTTCTCATTCTGACATGGTATTACGAGCCTAGGTTCCACCTAGGACCGAAACGATAGGGCCCACCGTTTCTGCTAGCCGCGCCCTCGTGCGCCGCCGTTCTTTTTTTTCTGCGCCTCGAGCGCCTCCTTCTCAAGGCCCCGTATGGCCCCGCGCTAGCCTCTCACGGCCCCCGATCGGCCCCGCGCTAACCTCCTAAGGCCCCCGTCGGCCCCACGCTAGCCCCGCGCTAGCCTCCTACGGCCCCCGATCGGCCCCGCGCTAGCCTCCTAAGCCCCCGTCGGCCCCACGCTAGCCCCGCGCTAGCCTCCTAAGGCCCCCGTCGGCCCCGCGCTAGCCTCCTCAGGCCCCCGTCGGCCCCGCGCTAGCCTCCTAAGCCCCCGTCGACCCCACGCTAGCCCCGCGCTAGCCTCCTAAGGCCCCCGATCGGCCCCGCGCTAGCCTCCTAAGGCCCTCGTCGTCCCTGCGCTAGCCTCCCACGGCCCCTGCAGGCCCCGCGCTAGCCTCTCACGGCCCCTTAAGGCCCCACGCTAGCCTCCCACGTCCCCTGCAGGCCCCGCGCTAGCCTCTCACGGCCCCCGACCTGCCCTCCCGCGCTCGCCCCCCCCTACGACCGAGCCGCAAGGCGCGACCCGAACCGAACCGCGCGACCCAGCCGAGCCGCGCCGCCCCAGCCGAGCCGCGCCGCCCTAGCCGAGTCGCGCCGCCCTAGCCGAGTCGCGCCGCCCTAGCCGAGCCGCGCCGCCCCAGCCGAGCCGCGCCCTACTTACCTGTGCACAGCACTGCTACTGCTACTGCTACTGCTACTGCTACTGCTACTGCTACTACCACCACTGCTGCTACTGCTACTTCAACTATGGCTAGCCCTACAGTTCTCTCGTTCGATTCTGAGGGCCGCCCGATTAAGTTTGATACCTGGCTCGATGATCTGCACCTGTTCCTCCAGCTCACTGCTAGAGAGGATATCTCGCTGTACGATCACGCACTAGGCACAGTCCCTGCTCCTGCTACTACTGCTACCGCTACTGCTCGCTCGCAGTGGCAGACTCGCGATGCCCACGCCCGCTTTGCCATTCGCAACTCCCTGCCAGTCGATGAGCGTGAGCACTTCGGCCAGCATCAGACTGCGCAGGCCCTGTACACTGCTGTAGTTGCGCGCTACTCCTCCCCGGCCTCAGCTGCACTAGGCCGTCTCTCCCTTCCCTACCTGTTCCCCGACCTGTCCGCTTTCCAGACAGTCGCTGACCTCATCACTCACCTCCGTACTAGTGATGCCCGCTTCCGTGCAGCCATGCCCGCTGAGTTTCTTGCCTCCAACCCTCCCCCGCTCTGGCTCACTCTCTACCACCTAGTCACCCGCCTCCCTGACACTCTGCGTACAGTCAGGGACCACTTCCTAGCTCGCTGTCCCACTGAGCTCACCATTGCCGCCCTAGAGAAGGAACTACTTGCAGCTGAGAAGAGTATTGTAGCTGTAGGTGCCTCTCGTGGCGACCCCCGCATCCCTTTCTTCGAGGGGTGTTCCCCCTCCCCCCTCCTCCCCTCTGTCGCCTCTGCTGCTGCTGTCGACCTTCTTGGTGCTGAGCAGGTCGGCTCTGCGTCCGCTCCCAGCGGGCGCCGCAGCGGCAAGGGCAGGGGAGGCAAGGGCGGTGGGGGTGACGGCGGGGGAGGTGGTGGTGGGGGTGGTGGCAGCGGCGGGGGCGGTGGCGGGGCTGGAGGGGCTAGTGGCAGCGGTGGGGGTGGTGGAGGCAGCGGCGGCGGCGGTGGCCGCGGTGGGGGCGGTGGTGGTGGCGGCAGTGGACGTGGCGGCGGCAGGGGCGGTGGTGGTCGTGGTGGAGGCGGCGGTGGTGGTCGTGGAGGCTCTGGCACTGGCCAGAGTGCGCAGCACCCTCAGTCCTCCCAGGAGCTTCGTGAGTGGTACTTACAGCACGGGGGTGGGGGGGGTAGCCTTAGCTGCACGTACGTCATCCGCACTGGTCGCCGCAAGGGACAGACGTGCGGGAGGGCGCACACTTCGCAGCGCTGCTTCTCTCGCCTAGATGACGCTTGGCGTACTCAGTTTCCTGACGCTCCTGAGCTCCCTCAGTGGGCTGATCTCCTCAAGAAGGATATCGATATCTATGCTCTTGATTTTGATGTTATTCTCAAAGCAATGTATGCATTGACTATTAGTGGAGAGGAGGACCAGTACCTGAGTGTTCCGCCTGACCCAGGCATCCGCACGAGTGAGGCTGCCGCCCTAGGTACTTGCGTGTCTGCTGCCCCAGGTACTGGTGAGGCTACTGCTCTAGGTGCGTGTGTGTCCGCCACCCCA